TGCAATAAATTTTAGACTAGTTCTAAAACAATGAGGTCGAGTCTGATTATGCAGCATTTCCGTGCCATTTACTTATATTCTCTAACTCACTTCTACGTTCGCCGTTTCACCTGGTTATTGACGTTTGTCTTCCAGCTGTTTTCCTTCATGTTGACGGTTTCGAATAAAAGTCCTCAGCATATTCATGATGTATAACTGATACCATTTATCTGCTGTTTGTTGTTCGTTGACCTTGATTTCTCTCCCTCCCTTTGGCTCGTTGTTTGTTCAGCCTCAACCCTCTGTATCGACAGACCAACCACACGAAGTTGCTGGTACGAGCAGTGGAGCAGTGATTGGTTCTGCTAACTCATCAACCGGACCACCAGATCTAATCGGTCCAATCAAGTTGGATGTAGTGAAAGCGTTGTGTCAGTGCGTGCTTGCACCCAAGTCAACCGATATAGCTCGAAACATGTCAGCTCAGCTGATCCCTGATCTGTCAATTTCCAACCGTGCTACCAAAGAAAATATGCTGAAGTTGTTATGTGAATCTGCCGGGCAATTAGCTTCCAAAATCATCACTCAGTTGCAAGTATGTTTTCCCATCAGCGGTTTTACCATGGCGTTACGCGGCATCCCCTGTGTCATATTGTGGTGCTTTCCGTCCCATGTGACCGTGCTGTGTCTTGTTTAAATTCTCGCTAGTTGGCAATAACTATTGCCTGGATTGCCTCCCATTTGAATGCGCGGTTTGATTTTCAATGTGGACATCCTGATAAATTAGATCACGTCTTAGGATTGGAATCAAGAAGTTCTACGGTGGATTATCGCATCAAGTTCATAACCACTAAGTCCTGGCACTTTTTGTTTATTGGGTGTATTACACACTGAAGAAGCTTCTGTGCTTCCGAATAATTCTCATTGGATCTAGTTACATCTGACTATTTCATTTGTACCTTGCGTTGTTCAGTGCTCCAAGGCTTCCGGTTTCTATGAAAAAGTGGAAGGTTTTGTTTATTTGTACGAATTCATCCGTTTCATAGTTTATCACATTCAAATGTTAATTTATTAGCGATGATGGTGCACAGCGAATCTAAGTTTAAATATTAAAATTTGTTTATCTATGTAAAACGGGGTTGTTTCAGTTTTAGTTTTTACAACCAATAACGGTGCACTTTCGTCCGCCGGTTTTTGGTTGCCCATTGGGATAAAAAGGCAGAATGAAGATTGGAATGTTGATAACAAATTCAAGCGGAAGATAACGAATTTATGTAGACTGATGTAACAAGAATAATGAGTAGATGCGTGAGCGCCACTGTTTGCGACACCCAGCCATATCGCTCAGTGTTTCTAACCATCAGTGACCATGATCTCAGGGTCCCCAGCC